GCTGTCCCCTCTCCCCCTTGCTCTTTGCCTTGGCCATCAAACCGTTAGCGGAGGCCATTAGGGTCAGGGAGGACATACGTGGTCTAACTATTGGAGAGAGGCATCATAAGATTACTTTGTATGCTGATGATGTACTTATTTTTCTGACTCAACCCGAGTTGTCCATTCCCTCTCTCATTGAGACTGTTGGTAAATTTAGTGCCATTTCTGGATACAAAATCAATTTCAACAAATCAGAGGTGATGCCTTAAGGCACTTTGAAAGAAAAACCTAAAGTTCCCTCTCCATTCCCTTTCACTTTGTCTCCAGAAGGATTCATATATTTAGGAATAAAAGTAACACCTAATTTTGATGAGATGTACAAGTGTAATTTTATTCCACTCTTTGATCGTATAAAATTGGACTTTGAGCGATGGAAGACTTTGCCTCTCTCCTGGTTGGGTCATGTCTCGCTCCTGAAGATGAATGTTATGCCCAGGCTGCTATACCCAGTTCAAATGATCCCAATTCTTTTTTCACATAAGATTATCAAAATTTAAATGGCTGGATGAATTCGTTTATTTGGGCTAGGAGGAAGCCACGTCTGAAAATTTCCACATGATGTCTCCCATCCTCGAAAGGAGGTCTTGCCCTCCCAAATATAAGAAAATACCAGCTCAGTGCACATATGCGTGCTGCAGCCGGCTGGATTCATAACCCTGTCTCTCTTTGGCTTGACATAGAGGGCTCTATGTCTAAATTCCCTTTAAAAAACTTACTGTTTTTGAAAAAAATTAAAAGCCTGAAGTTGTCTTGCAGTAATCCACTTTCAGTTTTCACTGTAAAGGCATGGAAAATTGTTCAAAAACTTGAGGGTCATTCTAAACTGACCTCATTATTTACACGCCTGTGTGATAACCCTCTCTTCCCACCTGGAACGACAGATTGTGGATTTCAGGTTTGGGCAACTAAAGGGATTTCTGTTCTTTCAGACTTAATGGATGGGCCCTCTATGTTGTCCTTTGATCAAATGGTTGCTAAGTATGATATCAAGAGACAGGATTTTTTCCGCTATTTGCAAATGAGAGACTATGTTCAGAGGAAAACATCGTTACTTTCAGATCAATCTATCTCTGACTTTGAGAAATTTATTTCTGCCCAGATTTAAGACCTCTATAAAATCCTCTTACACCTTACTAAAAGAATATGCAAGTACCAACACTATCCATTTAAGAGGGCTATGGGAAGGGGAATTGGGGATGCAAATAAATTATGAGGATTGGGACAGTATCTGGACAAATGCAAGCTCTTTAAGTGTCTGTAATCGGGTAAAAGCTTTACAACTTAAAATCTTGCGCATATTTCCCCCTCTCAACGACACAAATTTAGTTCAGGCCTTTCTCCGTTATGCCCCAAATGTAAAATTGAAGTGAGCACTCTTACTCATTGTTATTGGTTCTGTAGAAAAATACAAAACTTTTGATATGTCATAAAATGTGAATTAGATAAAATATTCTCTGTTTCTGTTACTACAGAATGTAACCCATTGACCATGTTGCTTGGAATAACAGATGTCACTATCACTGGAAAACATGAAAGGCAACTCTACAGGATACTTACATTTTGTGCAAGGAAATGTGTCCTTCTGAACAGGATTACAGACAAAGCACCATCTAAAACCCAGTGGCATCGGACAGTACTGGAATATGTGTGGTTGGATTATCTAACCAGCAAGTTACACAGCAGAGAACATGGGTTTCACAAAACATGGGACCCTTTTATGTCATACATTGGACTGGACATTTCTGCTATCCTGCATAGAGGCGTAATGTGAGCTCATTTATATGGTGACATTACAGTCTTACATTGATTGACTCTGAGTTTTCCACCTGTTTTAGATCTGAGCCGGAATGTTCTGTTGTTTTCTTTTCTTTTCTTTTATTTGTTTTGTTCTTTTCCTTTTTTTATAAACAAAAAAGACCAATAAACATATATTGGGGAAAAAAGTGCTGCATGAAGCTTCAACTATACTGATAATTCTGTGATTCCTAAACAGTAGTGGAGCCAAACATAGTAGAGTTTGTTCTGTCAGCAGGACTTGAAGAAAAATCATGTGGTTAGAAAAAGAAAAAAAAAAGCCTGTTTTTGTTGAGCAGATGCTCACTGAGTGTCCAAAGTTGAAAGAATTTTTAAGGACATTCAGCCTTTAGTTTGTGAGCTTGAAAGTGAAATGCTTAAAAAGGTAAATACAGTTGTATGAAAAAGTTTGGGCACCCCTGATCATTTTCAAGATTTTCCTTTATAAATCATTGGTTGTTCGGGTCAGCAACTTCAGTTAAATATATCATATAGCAGACAAACACAGTGATATTTGAGAAGTGAAATGAAGTTTATAGGATTTACAGAAAGTGTGCAATAATTACTTTAAAAAAACGTAGGCTGGTGCATAAATTAGGACACCCTTGTTGTTTTATTGATTTGAATACCTTTGGCACGGATTATTGGAACACAAAATTTGCTTGATAAGCTCATTGACCCTTGACCTACATACACAGGTGAAGCCAATCAGGAGAAAGGGTATTTAAGGTGGCCAGTTGCAAGTTGTTCTCCTCTTTGCATCTTCTCTGAAGAGTGGCAACATGGGAGCCTCAAAACACCTGTCAAATGACCTGAAAACAAAGACTGTTCAACATCATGGTTTAGGGGAAGGATACAAAAAGCTCGCTCAGAGATTTCAGCTGTCAGTTTCCACTGTGAGGAACATAGTGAGGAAATGGAAGACCACAGGCACAGTTCTAGTTAGTGGCAGGCCAAGAAAAATCTCAGCTAAGCAGAGGTGAAGGATGGTGAGAACAGTCAAACTCAACCCACAGACCAGCTCCAAAGACCTACAACATGATCTTGCTGCAGATGGCGTCACTGTGCATCGTTCAACTATTCAGCGCACTTTGCACAAGGAGACGCTGTATGGGAGAGGAATGCGGCAGAAGCCTTTTCTGCGCACATGTCACAAACAGAGTCGCTTGAGGTATGCTAAAGCACATTTTGACAAGCCAGCTTCATTTTGGAATAAGGTGCTGTGGACTGATGAAACTAAAATTGAGTTATTTGGACATAACAAGGGGCGGTATGCATGGCGGAAGAAGAACACAGCATTCCAAGAAAAACACTTGCTACCCACAGTAACATGTGGTGGTGGTTCCATCATGCTGTGGGGCTGTGTGGCCAGTGCAGGTACTGGCAATCTTGTTAAAGTTGAAGGTCGCATGGATTCCAGTCAGTATCAGCATATTCTTGCGAACAATGTTCGAGAATCAGTGACAAAGTTGAAGTTGCGCCGGGACTGGATACTTCAACAAGACAACGACCCTAAACACTGCTCAAATTCTAGTAAGGCATTCATGCAGAGGAACGAGTACAACGTTCTGGAATGGCCATCTCAGTCCCCAGACCTGAATATTATTGAAAATCTGTGGTGTGATTTAAAGCGGGCTGTCCATGCTCGGAAACCATCAAACCTGACTGAACTGGAGATGTTTTTGTAAAGACGAATGGTCAAAAATATCTTCAACCAGAATCCAGACCCTCATTGGAAGCTGTAGGAAGCGTTTAGAGGCTGTTATTTCTGCAAAAGGAGGATCTACTAAATATTGATGTAATTTTTCTGTTGGGGTGCCCAAATTTATGCACCTGCCTACTTTTGTTTCAGTAATTATTGCACACTTTCTGTAAATCCTATAAACTTCATTTCACTTCTCAAATATCACTGTGTTTGTCTACTATATGATATATTTAACTGAAATTGCTGATCCGAAAACCATCCATCCATCCATCCATCCATCCATTGTCTTCCGCTTATCCGGGGTCGGGTCGCGGGGGCAGTAGGCGGAGCAGGTCGTCCCAGACCTCCCTCCCCCCCGCGACGCTTTCCAGCTCTGCCTGGGGGATCCCGAGTCGTTCCCAGGCCAGTCGAGAGATATAATCCCTCCAGCGGGTTCTGGGTCTGTCCCGGGGTCTCCTCCCAGGTGGAAGTGTTTGGAAAACCTCCAGAGGAAGCCTCCCCAGAGGCATCCGAACCAGATGTCCATACCACCTCAACTGGCTCCTTTCGACGAGAAGGCTCCTTTTCGACGAGAAGGCTCTACTCTGAGCTCCCTCCGGATGTCCGGGCTCCTCACCCTATCTCTAAGGCTGAGCCCAGCCACCCTACGGAGGAAGCTCATTTCAGCTGCTTGTATCCGCAATCTCGTTCTTTTGGTCATGACCCAAAGCTTGTGACCATAGGTGAGGGTTGGGATGTAGATGGACTGGTAAATCGAGAGCTTGGCCTTGCGGCTCAGCTCTCTCTTCACCACAACGGTCCGGTACAGCACCCGCATTACTGCTGACGTCACACCGAGCCGCCTGTCCATCTCACGCTCCATTTTCCCATCACTCGTGAATAAGATCCCGAGATACTTAAACTCCCTTGCTTGAGGAAGCAACTGCCCCCCCACCCGGAGGTGGCAATCCATTTCCAGCAGAGAACCATCGCCTCGGACTTCGAGGCACTGATCCGCATCCCTGCCGCTTCGCACTCGGCTGGAAACTGTTCCAGTGAGTGCTGAAGGTCACGGTCTGATGAAGCCAACAGTACCACATCATTTGCAAAAAGCAGAGACGAGATCCTGAGGTCACCAAACCAGACACCCTCCTCTCCCTGACTGCGCCTTGAGATCCTGTCCATGAAAACCACAAACAGGATCGGTGACAAGGGGCAGCCCTGGCGGAGTCCAACAACCACTGGGAACGTGTCTGACTTATTGCCGAGAATGCGGACACAGCTCGCACTTTGGTTGTACAGGGACCGTATGGCTCGTAGCAGCGAGCCTGGTAACCCATCCTCCCTCAGTACCCCCCACAGAGTTGATTTATAAAGGAAAATCTTGAAAATGATCAGGGGTGCCCAAACTTTTTCATACGACTGTATATCGATGCAGTTTGTGGTGTGATCAGACGAGTGGACTTTAATTATCCCTGACCTGTACGGAGGAGACCTGGACTGAGTCTTTGCGTCGCACTGATCCAGGGATCTTCTTCAAGACCAAAGTCACTCCTTTGGGATTCTCTCGAAGCTTCTTGACAAGGTTTGCTCTGCTCCAGCCCACCTGGTGCAGAGACACGGCTGATGACTTCAGTGTGAAGGTTATTGTTTCGGACACTAAAAGACTTTGCAGGAACAGCGCTGACAACATGACTGACAGGTCTGCAGATACTACATACTGTGCAGTGGAACGGTTCAAAACACATGTATAGCACACACTGTAAATACTCCATCACTCACCACTATTTGGCCATTGACTTGAACCACTTCATCACCAGCCAAGATCTTGACAAAAACATCATCGGACGGCTGCAAAAGTAGACAAGACCAACAGGAACTCTATTTCAACAAATTCCAGCCAACTGTATCACACAAAACATGAGCTAATGCATTTGTCTTTAACTTTTTAGAAATTACATGATTTGTTTTTCACATGAAGTGATACACAATCAGAGATTTTGCTTAAAATGTATTTGCTGCTCCAAGTGTTTTTGATCATTTTTACCCTTAATTTGAATTAAACAATTGTAAGAAAATAAGCAGGGAGAGAGAGGAGTTGTTTTTAGTCATGTTACATGTCACAAGTTTGTACATCGTCAACAGATCTGTAACTTACTAACATCGAAATGCGCAAACACAACTCCTCTAATATTTTTTCTTACAGTAGTCATGATTTGCAAACTTTAAAAGCCCTAAGTCCTAGTAGCACTGTCTTGGAGTGGGTGACAGAATTAACGCCCTCTATCCTGGAATGTAGAATTTTACATCACAATATCACTATATATGAGTATATTGTATGGCACAGTATAGAGTTCATTATTTAAAAGTAATTTGAGACATTGTTCATGGATAAAACAACCAAGTGACAATTTCTATTTCTGGAAAGACCTGATCTCTCATCACATTTATGTAAACTTTATTCCAAAATCCAGTATTTTCCCTCATGAATGAGTAAAGAGATAAATGTATTTAAATGTAATTGCCACCATGATGCAGCAAAATTTGACATCAAATGGAGCCTGAAATGAAACAAGAGCTTCTCTGACAGAGCCCAGGTTGATGTTGTGATTATAAGCACAGGTCCTGTCTGTGTGAGGCACAACAAGGATCCTTACCACACTAGCAGTTTGTGTGTGTTGGTGAACAGTGGTCATATTTCTTATTAGCAGTCACCATGGTAAAGTTACTACTGTATCAAGGGAGTCTCGGTTTGTTTTTGACATAATGGAAAAACGAGATCTTAATCTTTCTGTCCCAAAGGAGAGCTACACTTTACTCATTTTACAAGCCCTCCCCCTGTTTTTTCTGGTAAACACTCCTCCATCTTTCCATTACTCCCCTGGTTATTTTTAAAGTCCACTGATATAAGTGATCTTTGGCTTTCTCAGAAAACCATGCATCAGCACTCAGGCCATGGGGTGATTTCATTTTTTCTCAGAAAAAGCTTTCATCTATTACAGAAACCAAATCACTTTAAAATAAAGTTAATCTTTTTTTATGTAATATAATGAACCATATGCACTAGATTTGCCTGTTGTTCCGGCTGTTTTTTATTTATTTTTTGTTTTTTTATTATTATATATATATATAATTTTTTATTATTATAATTATTAATGCACGTACCTCATTCTGTGCTATAAACTGCTTGTTTACGAGCAGTCTGCAACACTTGGAACAAGCAGCCTCGAGTACATATGTAAAAAAACAACAACAACCCAGTATAAACGTATTTGCAGCACAAGGGCTTTGATTGGTTTCAGTTTCAAAACAGTGTAGCAAATGAAGATAAGCCAACAGCTAAAATTAGTGTGTCACACCAAAGTATTTCTAAGGGGATTTCTGCCCAACACAGAGCTTGTGCTTTCATAATAAATGAATAAATATTAAAATTTCATAACTTCTACTGTGCAGAGCAGAGGAAAGACATTATTGTATATGGATTCTCCTATAACTTCACCATAAAATAGGACGTTTTTTTTGTCATAGAGGAAGAGGAAAAAGCATTAAAAAAAAAAAAAAAAAACACCAGAAAAGGAAAGATAAATTTCCTTTCACAACGGAAAATACACTTCCAGTTCCTTCTAGATAAGAGACTCAGACAGACAATTTGCTATGTCTGTGCTTAGCAGAGCAAAACCTTCCAATAGGAGAAGTGTAAATGTGCGATCTCCTGTGAAGATATGTGACGAACCTGAGCCACGAAGTGGTCACAAATCAACCTATTTAGGAAATTCACAGCTTTTAATGTAATATATCATATGCAGTAAAATTGTATGTGGTTAAAAGCATGAAACTGCTTAAGTAATAAAACATCGGTGAGATTCTTTAGGATAGAACCTGCAGCTCTTTGCACGGATCTCCTGTGAAAGAGACAAACTGTAACTGAAGTTACCCCAACAACTAAGACCAATAGGTCTGGAGTTTAAGAGGAGCAGGGGTTTGAGTCATGCCGCCCTTCAGATGATTGGTAAAGAGCACTGAGATAGCGGTGATGGTTAACTCTGTGTGGTTTGTCGGCTGAGTCAACAGCAAAAAAAAGAGGGAGAGTAAATGAGTCTGACCTCGACAGCGGTTCCAGTCACGTAGTGGTTACTCGAGCTGGTGGACGTTATCTCGATCCCCTGAGAGAAAGAGAAACACAAATACGTTTCCGAGTGATAAACCGGCATATGCTTGAAACATTGCCTTATAGAATGTCAATTTTGCACATCAATGACTCCAAATTATTCAGTGTAATGGACACACAAATACTGCTCCATCTTGTTACTGTCAATGTCAGATCCTGTGGAGCTATCGATGATCCATCTCCAGATGTAATCACCTGTCTGCCCACCATGATTGATTGCTTAAAAGTCATAATGGTCACGAGGAGAGCAAACTAATCACATCCCAGAAAGCCCCAACGCATAATCAATACGTATCACATGACAACAGCAACATGAATGGATTTAAAGCGTTTCCTCCAGTCACTCAAAAGATCATGAGGTTACACAATCTTACACAAGGCTGTGGTTCAACACAGCCGGTCAGCGTGATCCCTTTATATACAACCAAAAAGTCAATAGATAATAAATGTGTACATATATTTATTGAATGACTTCAAACACACTGAGCATGAGCTGGTGTATGAACAGGTAATGAATGACAATCTGAAAGAACATTGCAGTAATAATAGGAGGAATAATTGTTGACAAATCTCACAATTAATAAAATTGTATGAAACTGCTTCATTGTCATGTATTATAAGGAATTTTAAACATTTATTTAATGCCTATAAATGCTAAAAATGGGGTCTTTCCATGGTAAAAATAATTTTCACAGATTCTAACGGCATATTTAGCAATGACCTGAAAGATTTAGTTGCTGCAGCTCCCACCAATAACTTCACAAGTTAACATAAGTCCAAACTTTTATGCTCTGATGAAAATACGAATCACTTTCTGTAACAAATGCAAGGACACAGATGAAGTCACTATTTTGTAAGTTGTATATTAACACTGTACGTAGAAACCATTACATTTTGTGATGCAATCCACATCTGAATTGTCACAATAGTTTAAAGACTATTTAACATATTTTATTTTATCTCAACCACCAGTATTTTTTTTGTAAATTTTGGATTTATGCACAGAAGTACATGTCACGTTTCGTATTCTATATAAATCATAATTCTTCCTGTGTCTCACTTCCCTTTCTATCTGTCTTTAGTTCCCATTACTCTCAATGTATTGGAGGGCAGACCTCATTACAAGTGATGTGCTACAATCAATGCCGCTCTGTCAGCTTTTGTCGCTAGTAGTTGAGCTCATTTGCAAAAATGATCACGCTCTACGATAGAATATTTGTGCAAAAATGTCCCAAAAGTGTTGCTGAAACTCTCTAACCAAATCCATGAATTCACTGACACACAAATCAAAAGGAAAACCTGCCTACAGCATTCGAGCTATGGAAATGCTGCTACAAACATTGCACATTTATTGCAAAGACAACACACAGGAGATAATAATGACGGGCAATTCAGCATAGGAACAAGGAAATGGGACTGCTATATAGCATGATAGATTTTAACCTAACGGCTTGGGTACACAAAGGGGGAGGAAACTGGGCAAATGTGTTAAGGAAAATTGCTCTTCAGAAATGAAAACTAAAAGGACACTTGATTATGTAGATAACAAGCAGAGAGGAGAGCTATAATTCTAGTGCTCAATGATGAAGGAAAAAAAAAAGAGGACAAGAGGCACAAGAAGAATTTTGTCTGTGAACAACTAAAACATAAGGGAAGGTTTTCAGAGAAGGTAAATATGACAAAAGGATGCACAAGAAGAACCTTGAGTCAGACGAAAGAAGTGACGAACGGAGCCGAATGATGATGGAAACCTCGAAGGTAGAAAAGAAATGCTGAAAATGACAGAAATAGTTAGAGGTGGAAAAAAACCCAATTAAAAAACAAGTGGACGTCAAGAAACTGGTCAAGTCATGGAACGGAGTAGGAATTTTGTAAAAATGAGATCATGTGATGAAAAGATGTTAAACAGATGAGATGAACAGACATTTTAAAAAAAGGAAACACCTCCAGAGGTGAGCAAGTAAACAAGAAGGAGAATATTTCAGGATGAGGTGGAAAATGGTTTATCGGAGCTGAATTTTACGATCACAGAATGGTTCATTTTATTAGAAGATTTTGTGTCAGCAGACAGAAACCTGTTTCTTGTGTCCATCCATCCATCCATTATCTATACACCGCTTAATCCTCACTAAGGTCGCGTGGGAGCTGGAGTCTATCCCAGCTGACTTAGGGTGAAGGCAGGGGACACCCTGGACAGGTCACCAGTCTATCACAGGGCTACACTTAGAGACAGACAACCAAGCACACTCACATTCACACCTACAGACAATTTAGAATCACCAATTAACCTCAACATGTCTTTGGACTGTGTGGGAGGAAGCCGGAGAACCCGGAGAGAACCCACGCGAACTGGCGACCTTCTTCCTGCGAGGCAACAGTGCTAACCAACTGCGCCACCTTGCAGCCCATCGTGCATTCTACTATTCTACAATTTAATTTAGCAGATTTTTTTATCCAAAGCAATCTGAGAGTAGATACAACACAAGCAAGGATCTATTCAGGAGAATACTAAATAAATAAATACTTTAAATACTCTGCTGCATTAAAACCAAACTAAATTACAGTTTAGAAGTTTACAAAATGAGACCTGCAGTAGCTCTAGGGTTCCAAACTAAAGCAAGGACTTATTATGAAGACTTATTTTATTCACTTTAATTTAATTTATTTAATAAGACACACAAGAAATGGCTTCCTCCCACAAGGTCCAAAAACATGTTGACGTCAATTGGTGGCTCTAAATTGTCCGTAGGTGTGAATTTGAATGGGCTTGGTTGTCTGTCTCTAAGTGTAGCCCTGTGATAGACTGGTGACCTGTCCAGGTGAACCTGCCTTCACCCTAAGTCAGCTGGGATAGGCTCCAGCCCCCTGCAACCCTAGTGAGGATTAGTGACGTTACAAAGCATAGGGCAGGTAGTGTTAGAACTCAATATAGACTCAACCAAATTTGCATTCATTAAATAAGACGGCTTGTAATTAGTTCTGCATTCGATGGAGTCAACAGTCACAAGAGGTCAGTGTTATTAAGAGCAACAAGGTTTTACCAGCTGATCATCAGGAGACACAGGCACTAGGTCGACGCTCTCCAGCTGAGCAGTGTGGGTAAGGAGTGTTTCAGGGCTGGAGTTCAGGATGTCATCGCAAACTGCGACCAGCTGACGACCCTGGAGGATGAAACACACCCAGGAGAAATTAGTTTGGACACAGTGTGACGTTTAATGATGAGTTTCTCATTCAGTTCATAGTGAAACAAAAAGGAAAAACAACCAACAGACAAATGTATAAATAACTGTCACACTTACCACGGAGATGATGTCCTTTTCCTTTTCATAGACTGTGGTGTCCTGCTGGACGAGAGAAACGACACGACATTAGCAGAAGATAAACAAAATGACACCACAGCAGCTGATACAATGCTAACGCTATTGATTTGTGGAAATGGGACAATCTGACTCAAAACCGGTGCTCTATTTCCTCTTCACAGCGTGAGTCAGGAAGTGAAAGGCCACAGGTTTCCAGAGGCAAGAGAAGCATCACTCCAGATCTTTAGTGGTGTTAGTGGCTCTCACAACAGCGCCATTGTGTAGAAATGAATAAATGTATCTGTTCTCCATCGAAGTCACAAGTATTGATAGAAACCGTGTGCTTCAGGTTGCTCTGGATCAGACCTTCACAATATTCAGGAGTCCTTTACAAAACCTCTCCAGCTCAGACGTACTCCTAGGGTGTCATTCTGCAGTATCTCCGTCAGGTTAAGATCTGGACTCTGACTGGGCCTGTCTAAAAAGCAGCTTTTCTTTGTTTGAAGTCACTCTGTAGTTCATTTATTTTGACATTTAGGTTCATTGTCCATCTGCATTGACTGGATTGTGACAGTTCCTTCACCAGACTTGACATTTTATGTTTTCAATATGAAAAAAATGTGGCATGCCTATTAAATAATGTAATTTTGTGTGATTCAAGCAAATTAAAAATTTTAGGCTTTGTTTGTCAGGCCTGCACATTGTGTCTCCACTGACGTAAACCCTGTCTCTTTAATAGCCACACCTCATACCTTTTGCAGCACAAACAAGAAATGCACATAATTCCAAAGGATTCCTGCACCATCCATCAAACATAAATAACTCTAGAAGTTAAAAGAACAGCAAGAAAGCAGCAAATTTTGACAGTAAGTCTAATAAACCCAAGCATTGATAGTTACTCCCACCAGTACATAGACACACTTTGTCTTCACTATGTAAAGAATTACACACAAGGAAGTCAGTAGTCAATGTCATAGTTACGAGAAGAAGTACAGGAGCTAAGTTGTTTAATCTCTGGTTTCTGGAAGGAAGTTATTGATAAAGCATCTACAAGCAATACTACTGTGAGGCAGGGAGGGAAGTTGCAGAAATGAGGAGGAGGCTTGAAGTGAAGGAGGATGATGAGAGGTTAGAGGAGAAAAGGGTAGATGTTTACACAGCAAAGTCACTGAATAGACTAAAGCCGCATACCAAGTTTGCCCTGAGCTAATTTTTCAATGCCTAATGTTGTGACGAGTTACATAAAGGACTGCACAGGAGGGAAACTAATCCCTGTGAAATGTAACAAGGGATCAACAGTGAACACGGTTGAGGCTTCTGAGCTAATTAAAGGCTGTGACACGAGGCTGCAGGGAGGGGTACGGCATGATTACTGGCCAGTTCAACTTGTCCACTTGTGTTTGTATCTGTGCGTGTTGTCATTCCCTGTCATATCCTCTGGTATCTGTCCGAGTGTGGATACTTGACAGAATCTGCGATATATTGACTTACACCAAAACAAACCACTCAGGTTTGTTGAGACGTGTAGAGATGCTTAGATCTTCATCTCCATTCCTGCTTTAGCAAAGTGGCGTGCTGGCTGTGTGGTTGAGTGACTAATTTGTTTGGCTGGTTAGTCTCTATGGCTTGATTTGCAGCATGAAGAAAACATATTTAAAAGAAAGCATTAACAAGCAACTTCAGTTTAAAAAGGTGCACAGAAGATGCAGCTTCTGAGAGTTAGATGCGAGCCAAAACATATAATTAGTGCAAATGCACAAGGATAAAAGCATTGGAAAATAGATTTAGATCTAATTTAAGCCACTAATGCTTTTAACTAAATGCTCAGGTTAACTATATTCACCACGATCGTAGCACCAGACAGCTGAGGCTGATGGAACTGGTTTTGCAGGCTTAGTCATAAAACAAAGTATTTGACAAAATGTTCCAAAAAGGTTTTTTACAGCATATCTTGAGTAGAACAGGAATGTCTGCCTTAAACTTAACCATCCAATAGATGATGCAACATTTACACGTGGACAAAATTGTTGGTACCCCTCAGTTCATGAAAGAAAAACCCACAATGGTCACAGAAATAACTTGAATCTGACAAAAGTAATAATAAATGAAAATTACCCAATGAAAATCAGACATAGCTTTTGAACAGTGGTTTAACAGAATTATTTTTTAAAAATAAACTCATGAAACAGGCCTGGACAAAAATGATGGTACCCTTAACTTAATATTTTGTTGCACAACCTTTTGAGGCGATCACTGCAATCAAATGATTTCTGTAAACTGTCAATGAAACTTCTGCACCTTTCAGCAGGTGTTCTGGTCCACTCCTCATGAGCAGACTGCTCCAGTTGTCTCAGGTTTGAAGGGTGCCTTCTCCAGACAGCATGTTTTAGCTCCTTCCACTGATGTTCAATAGGATTTAGATCAGGGCTCATAGAAGGCCACTTCAGAATAGTCCAGTGTTTTCCTCTGAGCCATTCTTAGCTGTGTGTTTTGGGTCATTATCCTGTTGCAAGACCCATGACCTGCGACTGAGACCAAGCTTTCTGACGCTGGGCAGCACATTTCTCTCAAGAATACCTTGATAGTGTCGAGATTTCATTGGACCCTGCACAGATTCAAGACACCTTGTGCCAGATGCAGCAAAGCAGCCCCAGAACATAACAGAACCTCCTCCATGTTTCACAGTAGAGACAATGTTCTTGTCTTGATATGCTTCATTTTTGCATCTGTGAACATAGAGCTGATGTGCTTTGCAAAAAAAAAGTTCCAGTTTTGTCTGTCCATAAGACATTCTCCCAGAAGCTTTGTGGCTTGTCAAGATGCAGTTTGGCAAATTCCAGTTTGGCTTTTTTATGATTTGTTTTCAACAATGGTGTCCTCCTTGGTCGTCTCCCATGAAGTCCACTTTGGCTCAAACAACGATGGATGGCGCGATCTGACACTGATGTACCTTGACCTTGGAGTTCACCTTTAATGTCTTTAGAGGTTGTTCTGGGCTCTTTTGTTACCATTCAGATTATCTGTCTCTTCCATTTGTCATCAGTGTTCCTCCTGCGGCCACGTCCAGGGAGGTCGGCTACAGTCCCGTGGATCTTAAATTTCTGAATAATATGTGCAGCTGTAGTCACAGGAACATCAATCGGCTTGGACATGGTCTTGTAGTCTTTACCATTAACATGCTTGTCTATTTATAATTTTCTTTCTAATCTCCTGAGACAACTCTCTCCTTGGCTTCCTCTGGTCCATGTTTAGTGTGGTCCACACCATGTCACCAAACAGCACAGTGACCACCTGTAACCCTATAAACAGGCCAACTGACTGATTACACATCTGTAGACACCTGTGATGCTAATTAGAGGACACACCTTGATTGAACATGTCCCTATGGTCACATTATGTTCAGTCTTTTCTAGAGTACCATCATTTCTGTCCAGGCCTGTTTCATGAGTTTATTTTTAAAAATAGTTCTGTTGAACCACGGTTCAAAAGTCTGATTTTCATTGCTTAATTTTCATAGAATTTTTATTTATTATTACTTATTACTAAAGTCAATGAGGTTCATCCTCTGACAACCACGCATGAAATATATGTTGAAATATTTGAGTCTGAATGAAAGCGTCAGACATATAACATTCTTCCCCATCGAAAAACATGTTATAAATGACAGAAAATGAAAGCTGTCGAACCCCTAAAAGCCAGGCCAGAATCTATGAATAATTTAAATGTGTCTGTGATGCAAAGTTACACTGCAACAAAGCCAAAAAACAAAACAAAAAAAACCAACAGGACAGAAACTGTCTTATACTTTGCCCAAATCCACGCTGCAAGCGTCGATAGCAGCTGAGGCTTAAAGTTGTTGCCACCTCTAACCGTACACTATCACTTCTGCCTTCGATTCTCTGATACTGCTTCTTTCTCTCCAACATCTCACCATTGCTTTTTTAGAAATAAGATAAAAATACAGCAAAATCCACAACTCTGTTTTCTATTTAGAGTCAAGAACAGGAGGTTTCCCCACAAGGCACGGACTACTCTGCCTTTATTTTTGATGTGGCCAGAAGAGGAAATGGCACATGTGCCTGAGATGAGCAACAGGTACAATTCTGTCCTGAAATTGATGTAATGTCAGCAGGGTGTGGTGTTTTCCCCACCACACCACCACTTCTCACTGGTCATCTCATATTGAGGACAATTTCTAGACACGAGCGTGCTTTAAAACACAAAAGCAACATTATCACCATATTGCTCATTCCTATAAATTTTTCATTGCATAGAAGCTACAAATCATGGATCTAAAGCATATGATGCTTGTGGGATATGAGGGAGGAAGGATATGAGGCCATTGCTGTGGTCACAGAGTTTCAAGTTAGTGGCAGAGACAGGAGGAAGAAAGAGGAAGAGGAGAGAACAGGATACAAGAGGGAAGTGGAGGAGTCGGGAGGAGATGAGCTGTGGTTCAGACGAGTTTAGCTCCGAACAGCCTCCAGCTTGTTGACGCTCCAGTTGCATGTCCTTCTATTCAGTTTGCACTCAATAGGATATTACCTAAAAGACCTCACTTGAAACAAGAGCTACTGATTTAAAAGAACCCACAACTGAAACACGATATATAGAAGCTTTCACATCAGATGGTGCCGTGACTGTGCAAAACTTTGAGTTTTCCATCAACAAAACTGAAACATATAAACCAGGCTACGAGAGACCCAAACAAGATTGCACACTAATCAGACCGCTGTGTAGCTGTCCCTTGTGCAACTAAAACAGCTGTGACCCACTGAGACATGGACTCCACAAGACTTCTGAACCTGTCCTAGAGAAAGACATGAAGATTTTAGCAGGACATCTTTTAAGTCCTAGAAGCTGCAAAGAAGATTCCAGCACATCCCAAAGATGCCACATTGGATTCAGATCTGGGGAATTTGGAGGCCAAGTCAAAACCTTAAACATGTTCCTTAAATCATTCCTGAACATTTTTTTTTTTTTTACAGAGTTTCAGGGAGCATTATCCTGCTAAAAGAGGTGTCTGCCATCAGGGAATACCATTG